GTCTGTCCTACTGTCTGTCTGTCTGACTGACTGACTGACTGACTGTCTGACTGACTGACTGACGGACTGTCTGTCTGTCTGACTGACTGGCTGACTGACTGACTGTCCTACTGTCTGTCCTACTGTCTGGCTGTCTGGCTGGCTGGCTGGCTGGCTTTGAGAGTGGATAACAGCCATTTAAAGGCAGATTACTAATGAGATACAAAGCATATGATTCAGGCACAAGTGACAACAAGGGCTCTTGTCATTGGGGACAGGTCAGACTCTGTGACACAGACACAACGCAGGGTCGAGAGATGAGGATCCGCGGCGAGTACCGCACGAAAAAACACTCGGTCACAGAGTCGGTGAATTCTTCTGCAGCAACGCACTCACATCCCAGAGTTCACGGCTCTTTCTTCAAAGGTTTTTCTTTTCCACTCATCATTGATATAAGAAATGTAGCATCCTGCCGTTGAAAGGTAGGATAAAACATTGCGATATTAGTGTATTGATTTTTTTTTCTCCCCAACTCCCAGTCCAATATTCCTGGTGTTGGTTCATGTTCTTTTTCTTTTCTTTCTTCTCTAGTGATTCCAAATGTAGATCCCTCTGTTCCAGAGTTAGGAACCTGATGTTAAATGTTATAAATGTTAAACTTCCTGCGGGATCTTAGATTGTCTTTTTAAGATGTAGAAATTTACATCCAGTTTGCTGGAACTTTTATTTTGAAAACCCTCCGTCACATTTTCATTCACGCTGAGCCTTTAACTGAACTCCTCAGTACTTGTCAGTATCTGAGCTGTGTTATACCATAAACTTTTACCTTCTATGGAGGGAGAGCAATAAAAGAAAGTGGGCGAACTAATGTCTCTGACACACTAAGTACACAGACACACAACAGGTTAGCGAGGAGAGGTAAGTGGGTTCATGCGTGGGCACACAGTGCACACAGACAAAAGGACTCAGAAATAGCAGCCATGCCCACTGCATGTGTGACTGCTGACTCACATCTTGTTCATT